AGAAGTCCCCGCTGCAGTGGCACCTGGAGAGCAGAGGAGCATTCCATTCCATGCAGCCTGGGCTGGCCTGCGGGGTAGGGGGCTGGGAGAGACTGGAAGTGTGAGCTACAACTGTGCTAAGGCAGCACATAGAGGACAGTGCACCTTCATTTCAGCCCACCTGGGCGGGGGTGCTGGGAGAGACTCAAAGTCTGATCTCTACCCATACTGGGCAGCAGGGAGAAGGGAGTGGAATTGCCTTTGAGTCCCAAGGGCGGAGGTTGTGGGGGGAGGAAGGGGGAAGAAAGACAAGTTTTGTCTGGAGAAAAATTCCAGTAACCAGAGAATCTATGAAAAGGAATCCAAGTATTTGTAATCTGTTATGTCTGACTCTGAGCCCCATCTCAGGGGCTGCAGCAACACTGTGGCTAGGAGAGATGCCTATTCACAAAGCAATTTTTAAACCTCCATGGAAACCACTTGGGTTCCAGAAAAGAGACTGCCATGCAATGTGTTTGGGGACAGGCACTGAAAACCATTCAGGGCAGATGCCAGATTTTTGTTTTCTAGTGTAGTTTCTTGTTTCTTCAGAATAGGAGGACTTGAGCAAGAATTTTACCTGTGGTTGAAAGCAAGGAAATCCCACAGTAGTTTCCACAGTCCATCCTGTTACCCTTTTTAAAGTTGGTCACTATGATGGTATCTCTGAGCTCGCTGGGTATGGTTTCCTCCCTCCAGATCATCAGAATGAGAGAGTATAGGCATGACAGCAGGGATGGTCCTCCCTCCTTGAATGTCTCAGCGGGCATTCTGTGAGTGCCTGTTGCCTTGTTGTTGTTTTTTTGGTTTGGTTTGTTTTTTTGTGGCTGTTTGGATCTCGCAGATGGAAGGTTCACGATCCATATCAACACGCACAGGTAGACTGGTGATCACATTGAAAATACTGTTGTCAACAATTGCGTCACAGTTGAACAGGTGACTGAAGTCCTGGATCTCCTTATTGTTAGTATCAAACCAATCCTGGTTCCTTTTTTTGGTGTATCCAAGTGTTTAACCACAGGTTTCCAGGACCTCAGGTTTCAAGGACCATGAGACAATCCCCTGTGGATCTTGGTTACATAGCTTGTTGCTAAGGCTTTGTCGGAAGATAAGCCTCATCTCATGATTCTTTAAAGCCTCTGGGTGTGTCTAGACTACATGCCTCCTTCGACGGAGGCATGTAGATTAGCCAGATTGGAAGAGGGAAATGAAGCCGCGATTAAAATAATTAAAATAAACCTGGTTTCACGAGGCATACCTGTGCCGATGAAGAAAGGCTTCTTTGTCGGCGCATCGCGTCCAGACTGCCCCGATCTGCCGACAAACAGCTGATCGGCAGAGC